GGGATGGTGCATGATCAATCCTTTTCACATCCCCAGGCTCAGCTGTGGGCTCTGCACTAGCTCCCAGGCCTCTGGGAGCAGTTCTGGCTCCTGCCACAGCTCTGGGGCAGGATGCTGGGATAGGGGATATGGTGCCAGCTCTGGGAAAGGAGAGACACCTAAGAGGGGACAGAGGAGTACAAGCACTCTGCAAGGCAGGAGGGAGCCTGCAGAGGTGCTCCCCCCTCAGCCTATCCATGGGAGTGGGATCAAGTGTGTTTCCAGAGTCTCCTTGTCCTGCTTGGCTCTTCAGGACCCTGTGCCACCCTAAGGGTGGGTGCAGGCTCAAGCTAAACCAACAGCCCTGGCACCTTTCCCTGTCTGCAGGGAGCTTGCTGGATTTCCTGAAGAGCAATGAGGGGAACAAACTGCCGCTCCCAAAGCTGATTGACTTCTCTGCCCAGGTGAGGAAGAAGCAGACCTTCCCTAGCTCTGAATGCCCCTTATCCCCCTGAAAAGGGTGAGTGAGGAGCCTGGGAACTTACCTGGAGCTTGTGCAGGGCCAGCCAGGAGCCTGGTCTGAGCAGTGCTGGAGATGCAGTGAGGTTTTCCTGTGGGCAGCCACTGCCTGCTCACCATGCCCATCCCGCTGACCTCACAGGAGCAGGGCTGTGTGAAAGGAGAAGTGGCAGCTTCCCCCTCACCACACCAATATCTGCAGCACTCAGCTAGCCCACCTGCACCTGAGCAGCGCACAGCAGAGCTGCACAGATGCTGGAGAGGACTGGCTATTGACTTCTATGTCTGCCACAGTTCCTGTAGCCCTCACAGCCCATGGGTGACTCTGCTTTGTGGAGAAAGTGGGGCTGAGGATGGGGCTTGTTTCCACAGCTCACATTTGCACAGTCCCTTCTCTGGAATGGGCTGGTGCTGGTTGGTGTGGCCCAATCAAGCCCAGAGCAATGTTATCAATTTCTATAATTGAAAACTATTGATACTGGTAACTATAATTTTTGATTTGCTGCTGCTGTGACAGTTGTCTGCAAACATTACCTGCAAACTTGGCCAAAGCACCACAAACACAGCATGGCCACACACCCAGCCCGTCTCACCCCACCCCCAGCACTGCTTCAGGACAGCAGCACGGTGGTGTGAGGCCCTGGGGCTTTAACAGGAATCCTGCAGCATGATCCTGTGTGCTCCCAATACCCGAGAGGCTGAGCCAGGCAGAGTTCCCAGCCTCCTGGAGGAAGCATAGCAGGCTGTGTTGCCCCAGGGGAATGCCTACAGGAGGGCTGTGGTTCAGTAAAGTCACCAGAGAGCTGTCACGGGCAGGGAAAGGCAGCTGGAGAGCCAGGAGGACTCAGAGATAATTATTTCAGGGATATTTTCAGGAGCTGACTTTGAGAACAGGCTGTCAAACATCTCACTCCATGTGCAACAATTTGCACAACCACTGCACAACCACTGAGTCCCTGCTGCTTCTCCAGTGCCCCTGGGTGAGGACTGAACCCAAGGACCCTTTGTGCTGAGCTCAAATATTTCATGGAGGCACCTGAGCAGTAGGAAAGCCAGGATGGGGAGCCCTGTGGGCTGAGATCAGGTCACTGGCTGCTGGAGCTGGCTGTGCTGGGGTCTGTGGATCAGCTGTGCACTCCTGCACCATCTGTTCTCAGCAAGCTGGCTCGTGCCAACCCTGGCTCGGCCCACGGCTCCGAGGGGCTGCTCGGAGAAGCTCTGGGGAGCAGAGGCTGAAGGGCTGTCGTGGGCAGGCAGCAGCCTGGCCCTCGTGCTGGGCTGAGTCACTGTGGGCAGAAATGCATCTGTGGTCATGGAAATGATCCTTCCGCTCTTGCTCTGCCTGGTTACTTCTGTGTTTAGAGGGGAGAGCTCTGTGAGAGCTGCACCTCACCCGGGCCAGCTTGTGTGGCTGTGATAAGGAGGGGAGGATCTCCCCTCTGGCTGCTCCAGCCCCTTCACATTCTGGATTCTGGTCACATGCAGGCGTGGGGTAACAGGACAGCTTTGGGGTTTTGTTGTGCACACACCAGGTCACCTCTGCCTGATCAGCAGCACTGACTGCAGAGACTTCAGGAGGCAGAGTGGTGAGGGGGGATTGTCAGGGGCCATCACAGATATCCTGTCCATAGGCAGAGGTGACTCTGCAGAAACTAGTCTGGAAGAACTCAGGCATCTTCCCCTATGCTTTTCTGCCCCGGCTAAGGAAGCTCTGGAATGCTGACCCTTGCTGCAGCAATTACTGAGCCATTGTGGGTGTATTCAGAGACTGGTCTCACGTCTTCCCTGAGCAGAGAATGATTTGCTTGTCTTCCACATCCTCATGGCTGTGGATGAAGCACTTACACCTTGCCCTGCAAACACTCACAGACTCTGGTGATCACAGGATTTTCTCACACAGCAGCTTAAAGGTGTCATGTTGGGCTGGTCACCTAAACCCCAACCTCTTCTGTAAGGGATTTCCTGCTTGGAGAGCAGTTTCCATACAGGAAAGTCACAGAAAGGTTTGGGTTGGAAGGAACCTTAAATCTCATCTCGTTCCAACCCCTTGCCATGGGCAGGGACACTTTCCACTAGACCAGGTTGCTCCAAGCCCTGTCCAGCCTGACCTTGAACACTTCCAGGGATGGGACATCCATCTCCTGCTGTGGCTCAGCCTCTTTTCACCCTTTTCTGAGTGCTGGTCAGAAGCTGTTGACTTCTTTGGTGCTGAGGGGGTGTGTGTTATTTCAAGCAGCTTATTTGCATTTGCCTTGTTCTCCTGTGGCAGATTGCAGAAGGAATGGCTTTTATTGAGAAGAGGAACTACATCCACAGAGACCTGAGAGCTGCTAACATCCTGGTGTCAGCAGTGCTGGTGTGCAAGATTGCAGACTTTGGGCTGGCCAGGGTGATCGAGGACACCGAGTACACGGCCCGGGAAGGTGCTGGGGGCAGAAGGTTGGGGGGTTCCCTTAGGGCCACTTGCCACCACGGTGGTCCTGACCCCGGCAGGGATGTGCTGGGTACATGGGCAGAGGGAAGCTCCTCTCATTTGCATCACTGCACTTGTTCCTCTTCTGTTTGTTTCTTCTTCCCCATATTTCACCACCCCTTTCTCAGCAGCTGGGGTTGAGCTCATGTTTCCCATTGGATCTCTTTGTCTAGGTGCCAAGTTTCCCATTAAATGGACTGCACCAGAAGCCATCAACTATGGATCTTTCACTATAAAATCGGATGTCTGGTCCTTTGGGATCCTCCTCACTGAGATCATTACCTATGGACGCATCCCCTACCCAGGTAAGGAGGTGAAATGCCTCCTCTTATCTGATTCCAAAAGACACATTCCACCTTCTGGGCTCCATGCATGTGACCTGAGCTTCTCCAGCTCCATGGGAAAACCCTGTAAATCCTTATCATTAGGGATAAGGATTTTATCCCTTATCATTAGGGATAAAATACATCCTGTATTTTATACTAATAATTATTTTGCTACCTTTTTTCAAAGGGGAATTACTCTGTAAATGCAAGTGGACCATGAAGGATCTGGGGTGGCACAACAGGCTGTTCTGAGGAGCAGCTCTGCCCTCACACTGACTTTTCATTGCAAGCAATGGCTCATCACAGATTTGTAATTTAATAAAATACAAAGTTATTTTAATTTATACAAAGAGATTATAAACCCCATCTGTCCTGGGGCAAAAAAACTGCATCCCACATTAAGCCAGCATCTCCTTTGGCCAAATGTTTCCCTGACCAGGAACAGCAGTTCCCCCTTCCCAGCCCCTCTAACCACTTTTCCCTTCCTGGAGACATTGCCCAAAGGGAGAGAAGTTTTGGATTTGGGCATTTTATGACTTTTAAAGACACCAGTGACAAACCAGGTGACGTTCAGCTGTCCCCCCGTTTTCCAGGGATGTCCAGCGTGGAGGTGATCAGGGCTCTGGAGCGTGGGTACCGCATGCCCCGCACGGATAACTGCCCCGAGGAGCTCTACGACATCATGATGAGGTGCTGGAAGATCCAACCCGAGGATCGCCCCACTTTTGAGTACATACAAAGTGTTTTGGAGGATTTCTTCACTGCGACAGAGAGCCAGTACCAGCAGGAGCCCTAGCACAGGACACTGCCAGCTCTTCCCTGTCTCAGCCGTGCCCTGCTTCCCCTGCCAGCCTGGCCCAGGAACCACAGCCCTGCTGGAGTGGCTGGGCTGGAGGAAGCACACGATGGAGGGAGAGACGTGCCCATACCTTGTGTCTTTCCCAGGGCAGCGGCCCCAGGAAGTGCTGGCTGGACACTGGATGCCCAGGAGGATGGACAGGGATGGGGCCAGGCCTGCTTTTGCTGCAAGGGAAAACCCAGATCAGTATTTTTTTAATAGTTATGAGATTTTATCACGCTGTTCTGCAGAAGTAGGTGCCTTGGCTGCTGGCCATGGTGAAATGCCCTGCAGTGCCTGTGCTCCATGCGTGATTGATCCCAGGGGATCCCCCCAGGACACGCTGCAGTGCAGCCCGTGGGCTCATCATCGGCACAGGATCCTGGGGTTTGGTGTCACAGACACCTGCCCTCCTCTCTCCCTCCAGGTTTTCCTTCCCCAGTATTTTCATGGCAGGCCCTGTGCAGAGTGCAGGTTTGGTGAGGCTGTGCCACGGGCAGATGGACACAGGGCTTTTCCAGGCCATCCCTGCATGGATCCCCCTCCACTTGCCTTGGGAGGAACCTCTGGAGCCCAAAGCCATGGCAAAGCCCTCTCCCCCACGGCAAAGCTTACAGGCAGCATTCCTTGTCTGCTGGGGCATTTGCAGTATCAGCAAGGGCCAGGTGCTCCCTGCACACTCACTTGATGTTTATTTTTAGTATTTCATGAGGTTATTTGAGGAAAAGGAGTAAACAGTATTTTTTTTAAGATAGCCGTGTACCTCTTACAGCAGGGAGACTGGTGCCTGTGATTATATTTTTGATACCAAGAGGCAAACGCCGTCGCTTCTGCTTTGGGATTTTATTTTATTTTATTTTTTTTTTGTAATCAATAAAAGTATTTATCAACCTTTCCTCTCCTGGCCGTTCCTGCTGCTCCGCATCCCGGGCGGGAGAGACGCGGATAAGCTGAGGCCCGCAGCGCCCCTCGGAGCGGGGGCTCCAGAGTCGGGCAGACCCGCAGCGCCCTCTGAGCAGGCCCGGGGCCGCGGACCGCCCGGTGGCACCGCAGGGACCGGCAGGAACCGGCAGGAACCGGGAGATTCGGAGCGGTCCGGGCGCCTCCCGGCCCCGCCGCCCTCACCAAACATGGCGGCCGCAGCGTCGCGCCCGCTCGCCATGCAAAGCCCGCTGCCCTCAGCAAACATGGCGGTGCGGACCGCCCCTTCCCCGGCCGGCTTCGCGGGGCCGGAGACCCGCTGGAGACCGGAGTGGAGACCCCAGCCCCGGTCCGCCCGTAAGGAGAGCCGTGCCGATCCGGGGCTGAGCTGGGCCCGGCCCCGGCAGCGCGGAGCCGGCCGCTCGGCGCGGTCCTGCCCGGCCGCCGCGGTCGCCATGGCGATCGGCCCCGCAGCCAACCGCGCGCCGCTTCCGCTGACGTCAGCGCCGACACGTGGATCCAAGATGGCGGCGTCGGCGGCGATGGTGAGTGCGGCGGGGCCCGGCCCGGCCCCGCGTCCCGCCCGCTCTGCCCCGGCCCGGCCCGGCGGCGCTCCCGGCGCGGGGCTCGGTTCGGGGGCTGCGGTCGGATCTGCACCGCGCTGGGAGGGATGCGGGCCCGGCCCCTTGGCGGAGGAGGCTCCCCGGTCCCGCCCGGGGCCTTGCAGCTGCCCCGCGTCTCCCGGCGGTGTCACCTGTGGAGGGCAGGGCTCGGGGCGCCGCTCGGTGCCCAGGGTCCCAGCGGAGCCCGGCACGCTCCTATCCCGCCTGCCCCGCGCTCCCTCGGCGGCAGAGTTGGCTCCCTGATGCGGTTCGCGGCGCTGTCTGGGCAGGAGGGGCCGGGCGGGCGCTCGGCGCGCTGTGGGTCCTGTGCCTTCCCTGCCGAGCTGTCAGCCTGGGCCCGGGGCTGGCGCCGAGCGCGGAGCCTGTTGCTCTCTGTAGTTTTCACAAATGTTTGGTGGTGGTTGTCGAGTCCGGGTTTGAGCAGCTGCTTCAGCTTCCCGCGTCCAGCATCCCTGTTATTACTACGGGATGATTCCTTGAATCCTCAGAGAGCTGAAGGTGTTCCTGCTGAGCATCCCTGCTACCTCACAGAGCAGAAAACGAGCTGCTGAGACATTTGTTGTCTGCCTTGAAGTCTTGTAGGAGTCAAACGGATTTCCTCCTTGCTTTCCTAGGAGGGTATTTTTGTGGCAGTGCCTTGCAGGAATAGCGGTGTGGATTAAGGATGTGTGCTGATACAAAGGTCGCTGGTGGCTGGGCTGTGAGGTGACTCATGGAGAGATTGGGAGTGCCAAGGTTTTCCTTTAATTTGCTTTAAGCATCTTCATACCCTGCTGGCTTTCTCCCAGGCAGTGGGGAGGGGGTGCTCAGCTGGCTCTGAGAGCTGGGGATCGTCCTGCTGGGAATTTCCTTGTGGCTCTCTGTTGTGAGAAGGGCAGAGAAGGCTGCCAGCAGCTCTCCTGGTGTCAGAGGAGCTCTGAAGTCAATGTGAATGCACATTGTCTCCTTCTGAAGGGCTCTGGTGGCTCCTCCAGTGCAGGGTGAGCAGGGCAGGGATGTAATAAAGATGAGCTTATCCAAACAGTTCTCAGGATCATCGAAGGAGGCAGCTCTTGGAAAAGGGGATGAGGGTCAGGGTGCCATGAGCACTGTTCTGTCCTGCTAATGTGCCTGAGGGCAGAATGAAGGTTACATGTGTGAGAGAGCTTGCTGGGTTCTTTTGCTCCCACAGAGGAGCAAACCTTCCAAAGGTTGTGGCTTTCTTCCCTTTCTGTCACCATTTTTAAAAAGTTTCAGTAAGTGAAATGGAATGGGAGAGCTGTGTGAATCCATTTGGACAAATGGCTCTGCACAGGTAGTTTTCCCTGTTTTTCTTCAAAGCTGTCTTTGAAAGTTAACAGCTCTTGATTATGGCTCTTTGATGTCCCTCTTGCCTCTCTCTGCCAAAAAGAGATGAGATGATTTGTGATATCCATCACTGTCACTTCCTACTTCCTTTTCATCTCTTTGAACAGATCCTGTGTTCTGTTCTTCAGTTCCTATGTGGGCTGTGAAACTGAAGACCTAAACCAGCCCTGGTGCAGCACTGGCTCAGTTCTGATGCTTGAAATTGCAGCTGCTTGAGGGTTTCTTCAAGTTGTTGGCAGTAACCTGGGCAGGGATGTCCTGGGTGCACATGGCCAGGCCATGGACCCTCTGGAGCACGCTGGAGCTGTTGCAGAGTGCCCAGGGGACAGCTGCTGTTTCCCCTTTGCCTTAAATAAATGTCAGACTCTGGCAGTGGTAGCTGGAGGGACCACGAGTCCTAGGGAGGGACAAATGTGGTAATAACTGGATGTTTTAGGGCTGGGTGAGACTGGGGTTTAGAGAAAAGTCCTCTGCTTTGGCAGCGTGGTTTGTGAACCTTCTGTGAATTCACAGAGAGTGGCATCGTTGTTTGAAGTGTTTCTGAATGGGATAAACCTGGGGTTGTCTGCAGACCCCAAGACTGGTGATAACTTTCCAGAAGGGCATTCTTGGAGAGGGTTTGTGTGTGAACTTTTGATCTGAGGGACAGGAATGGGTGATTGTGCTCCTGCAGTTACTTCTTTCATTTAGATCAAATTCTCCTAAGACAGGGTGTCTCTGCATGTCTGCATATAGGAAAAGAATCAGGCTTAGGCAATCTGAACTATTTTTGCCTACTTGCAGCTGGGTGTTTCTCAGTCTGAGGCTGTGTGTATTTGTTGTGCTACTTGTTGCACCATTACACGATTTCCTGGCACCTCAGATGCAAGATTGTCATTTGAGGGTTTTTTTTGCATGTTTTTGAAATGGAAATGGAAAAGGCTGTGAAGCTGTGTGTCCTGTTTTCTGGAAGTCTGGGCCTTGCCAGGGCTCTGTGACTGAACCAAAACAGAGTTCCCTCCTGGAAGTTGTGACCTGGCCCAGGAGAGAACTCAGCTTGCAGGCATCCCTCATGTGAGACAATCACCTGGCCAGGCTCATGAGTTACACAGATCTTTTGAAGGGTGTCCATGTTGCCATTTCTAAGCTGCTGGCTTTGTTTGGAGAAGATGAGGCACATTTGTCAGGTCAAGAACAAGAACATGAGTAAGGCCCCTGGCTTCAGCTTCCCTGAGCTCTGCCAGCTCAGGAACCTGCACTGGGCATTTCCTTCATCTTTCACTTCCAAAGCTTTCCCCACCTGTTGCATAGCAGCTTCCCCCTTTCTTGCTACCAACTGTTCTTTCCTGGCAAGGCTTTGCAGAGTCACCCTCTTGTCTTTCCTGTTGCTGCCTGAGTCATCATCATCTGTATGCAAAGACAGCCTGACTTCTGCCAAAATTGTCATCAAAAATTTCATCTTCTGCATGCTCGTGTGTCTCCTGAGTGTCTGCCAAAGTTCTGTCCTGGTCTTTTCACCTCCCAGCTTGCTGGGGCACAGGTGGCAGTGGAGTGGTTTTGGTTTTTGAGTAACATTGTGTAGGTCTGTCACTTCAGTGAGAGATAAGGGCTGCAGGTTGCTGGAGTGCAGTGTGGGACAAGAGTGCAGATTCCTTCCACTGCTTCCCCTGTGCAGGAGACATTTTCCTGCTCTGTGCAGAGCCCCTGAGCACTCCCTTTAAAGAATGGAAAGGCAAAATTTAGTAGAGCACAGAAAATAAGCTCCATGTTGCCTCAAGGCAGATCAGTATTGGAGGTCAGGCAGTTTTAACAAGAATGTTTCCAAGCTGGGGCTTTATGCCTGCTCCAAGTGTATTTGGCTGTGCTCAGAATAGATCTGAAAAATCTCCTTTGTAAGCAAAAGAGAACACAGAATCACAGCATGGTTTGGGTTGGCAGGGTCCTTAAACTCACTTTGTTCCACCCCACTGCCATGGGCAGGGACACCTTCCACTATCCCAGGTTGCTCCAAACCCCATCCAGCCTGGTCTTGAACAATTCCAGGGATGGAGCTTCTCTGGGCAGTCTGTGCCAGTGCCTCACCACCCTCACAAGGAAGAATTTCTTCCTAATATACAGTCTAACCCTACGCTGTCAGTTTAAAGCTGTTCCCCCTTGTCCTGTACTCCATGATCCTCTAAATAGTCTCTCTCAATTTTTCTTGTAGGCTCCCTTCAGGTACTAAAAGCTGATGATTCAGTATTTATATTTTCTGTAGCTGCCTAGCATTTGCATCTTAAATACATTTTAGTCTTTCAACCTCCTGATACTTCTGCCTTTTTTTTTTTTTCCCATCTTGTTCATTTCCACTAATTCTGGATGCTCTGGTTGGCCCTCAGAGGTGTCTGGCCCAGCATACTTTCCTTATCTTAGAATGGGACAGGAGGAAGTTGATGAAGAAGGGGTGTGGGGGCAATAAACACAGATTTTTTTAATTTTTTCCCCCCCAAGCTGTGGAAGGATCCCCATGATAGAGCTGCTGTTTGTCACACCTGGCCTGTGGAGTGTTCCCTCTGGTGCTGTCAGACTCATGATGGTGCTGAGGACACACAGGAACAGTGGGGATTTGGTTTTTATGTCTGCAGCATTAGGCCAAGAATTGTCCCAAAGCAAACCAGGTCTTGTGTGGTTTTCCAGAGGGGTTCAGGAGAAGGGACTGAAGCCAGTGGTGCTGTGAGATTATACCAGAGCTGATGTCCTAATCCAGGCAAGCTGCTGCTGGCTAATACTCTTTAAAGCTTGATTTTCATTTCACAGCCTTCCTGCCCATGCTCAGCTGGGTTACCTGAGGTAATGGCAGGGGCTGAGGAGGCAGCAAGGTGTGCTAAATCCAGGATTTGCTGTGGCTGTGTTAGGATCTGGGTTCTCCTGGAGCCCCCATAGGGTTGATTGAACCTTCCAGCCTGACTTGTCACCCGGCTCCCTAAAAAAGGGGTGAAAAAGTGTTTGCCATGTTACTGAGCTGTGCTGTGGCCTGGAGGGGTGAGGAAAGCAGAGTGGTGATGGAGCAGGAGGGAGTGGTGATGTGACTGTCCCTTTGGGTGCAGTTTCTGGTGTCACACCTGACTCCACAGCAACTACTCTTCTGCAGGTAGTGGCCTGTGAGCATCCATCTGTGATCAGCTCCAGGGTAACTGCTGCTGTGCAGAGCTGACACACATCCAGAGCCAGGGCTACAGGTACCCCCTCTTCTCCACTAATCCATGGAGTTTTCTATCCCAGGGAGCTCAGTGGGGGTGAGCAGAAAGGTAAAGTGATGGCCTGCTCAGTGCCCCATGGTGCAGGTAAAAATGGCATTTTTCTTGTGGTTGAGCAAAGCCAAAGTTTTCCTAATTGCAGATGAAGAGGCAGAGACACACTGAGTGGAAGGTGACTTGATGAGGGTCACAAAACAAAGCTAAGAACAGCTTTTATGAATTTAATTTCTGTTTAATCACCTGAATGCGCAGCCTTTTTAATACCTGGGATGAACATTTCCAGTGTTGTTGCCCATCTCTAATGCTGTTCCAGTGTTTCTGGAAACACTTGTTCCAGTGTTTCTGTTGTATTTTACTGTTCCTTCTCCTTTTTGCAGGAAAGGCTGAGATATGTGCTGGGCCTGCTGTTGTTGCTGCACAGCACAGACTCGTTCTATGTACCCGGCGTGGCTCCCATCAACTTCCACCGCAATGATCCCGTAGAAATAAAGGTAGGATGAACTCAGTGATGTTAATCTGTTTGGTTTGGGGGGTTTTTGTCTTTTGGGTTTTCTCTTTTTTATACCATAGCAGCTAAGATGGGTTGCAAAGTTAAATTTGGGGATCCTGTTGCTCAAATTTTTTGTTCATATATGTCTTCTGCTTCACAACGTTCGGGTCCCATCACAATTCCTGTTCTTGCCCTGATCTCTTCTACCAAATTCCTTCAGCAGTTGCACCAAAGTCCTCAAGACTTTGCTCTGACTGGGAAAAGGGTCCCTTTCTCACTGTGGCTTTGAAGTGAATTTAATTTCTCCAGCATTATACTGAGTTTAAAAGTGCTTATGCAGAGTGTGCCTTTGGGGGGAAGGTAAATGGTGGAATAAGGTCTGAATCAGACCTTCTCAATACCCAGTTTGCTCATGTTGTGCCTTTGGGGGAATTCATGAGAAGCTCTTCCCAGGTGGAGGTGTTTTCCTTGAGCCTTGCAAATCTTTCAGCCCAGCCTTGCTGAGAGCTGTTCCTGTGCAGTGTTGCTGGTACTGAATGACAGAGCTGCTGCACCTATCCATGAGGAAGCCAGGCTTTGCTTTCAGGCATCAGTGATTTATAGCCCATTTCATTTATTTTTCTAAAGCTGTGGCCTCTGTCTCAGCAAATCCAGCACCCTTGGGGCTGCTGAGGTTGGCTGCTCTCACGTGAAGTGCAGCACAGTTTTCTCTTTGGCCACAGACTGCCAGACATAGGCTATTTTTAAGCAAATGAGACTTGCCTGTGGCTACAGTAAGCTTTCCCGAAGAAGAGGGTTTTGGAATAGCTGTTCTCAAAGGGATTTCAGGAGCTAAATGGTTCCTCAAGTGCTTAGGCAAGTCAGTGTATTTGCCAGCACTCTTCCAATAAACAAGCTTGGCTGTATTACAAAACACTTCTGTTTTTCAGAGGAACTGTGGTCTTGGCTGTTGTAGTATGTCTCTGCACTTCCCTTGTACCCTGTGATTTGTGGAAGCTCTCCAGGAATGTTTGTGGTTGGTCACCTTGTCTTCCCAGACTGATGGCTCTTTGCCTTTCCTTGCAGAGATTAAAACTGCTGAACTCTCCATAGCACTGGAGGCCAGACCTCTAGGTCCAGTGGGATATGAATTTTTGTTTGAGGAAATCTTATGTGAAATGTGACTCTTGAATCTCTTTTGAGGTCTTTGTTGTTTCTTGGGACTCCACTGAGATATAAATTTGTGAAACCACCATGTTTTGTTCTTGGAGTGTTTTTCTGTGAATGAATTGCTACTGGAAGTCTCTCAGGAACATCTGTCTCTGTTACTATTTTTAATATTATTATTAGTAGTAGTATCTTCTGGAAGTGAGCTTTATGGAAGGTATCTTGAAGTAAGCATCAGCTTCTAAATGATGCCGAGAGGACAGGAAATTATCTGGAGTTTTTTCCTGGGGGTAATCCTTCCATTCTTGCTGCAGGCTGTGAAGCTGACGAGCTCCCGGACCCAGCTGCCCTACGAGTACTACTCACTGCCCTTCTGCCAGCCCAGCAAGATCACATACAAGGCTGAGAACCTCGGTGTGTACCTGTCAGACAGTGTGGGGGTGTTTACAGAGATAAAGAATTGCAAGTGTCCCTTCTGCTGAGCTGAGAGAACCTGCTTCCTCTGATTCACTGTGTGCTGGCTGTCTGCAAACAGCAGTGTCCATGTGTTGGACACAGGAAGTGCCTGTCCTGATGGAGAGTGTGTAACCTGCTTCATAAGCACGGCTTGATACTTCCAACAAAGCAGCTATACTGACTTGCAATCTTATCCTTGCACCTGGGCTAGCAAAGGAGGCTTGCTGTGGTCCCTGCAGCTGCAGTGCCTGGCAGCAGGATCAGCAGCACGAAGCCTGGCAGTCTCCAACCCTGCCTGTGTTTTCCTGTTTTCCAGGTGAGGTTCTTCGTGGGGACCGAATTGTAAATACACCTTTCCAGGTTTCCATGAATGTGGAGAAGAAGTGTGAAGTTCTGTGCAACTTTCCCAACAAGCCAGTGACTCTGACAGTGGAGCAGAGCAAGCTCATCGCCGAGCGCATCAGGGAGGATTACTATGTCCACCTGTGAGTCACTCAAGTGTGGGTTTGTGTCAGGGGGATTTGGTGCTGTGGACAGATTTGATCTGAAATCTGTGTTTTCAGCATTGCTGACAACCTTCCTGTGGCAACACGGCTGGAGTTTTATTCCAATCGTGAGGAAGAGGAGAAGAAGAAGGAGAAGGATGTGCAGTTCGAGCATGGATATAGGCTTGGGTTTATGGACGGTAACAAGGTAGAGAACTGAGGTGCTGTGGGAGGGTGCCTGGAGGAGACTGGGGTGTCTGTTAGAGCTTTGCCAGAGAGTATCACAATTGGGAATGAAATTATTAATAGTGGAAATATGAGAGAGGGGTCCCTTGTGGGCAGAAGAGGGTGGGTGGGAAGGTGGGAAAGCCAGAAGTCCTTGCTTTTATTCACTGTGTGACTTTGGACGGGCTCATGCAGTGGCTTCCCCTCAGCAGAACAAAGGCACTGTGCCTCCAAGACTGGCTGATCTCTGGTGTTGGAGTCTTTAATTTTCCCTCACTGAAGCTGTTTTCTGCAGTTGTTGGTTCTCAGCTTTGCCTCTTCCTCCTGTAGGGTGCTGATGTTTTATTTTATGTCACTGTTTCAGTTCTACCTGCACAACCACCTCTCCTTCATCCTTTACTACCACAGAGAGGATGTGGAAGAGAGCCAGGAGCACACCTACAGGGTGGTGCGCTTTGAGGTGATTCCCCAAAGCATTAAACTGGAAGGTAAGAGATCCTTGAGGAGGGGAGCAAGGGGGAAGAATCTCTTGTATGGACAAAAGGCAGATGCCAGTGATGTGCCAATTATTGCTTCACAGGGCACAGAAATGAGTCTAAATTACAAGAATAATAAACCACTTTGTTATTAAGGAAGTACCAACAATAGAGACATATCCATGAACTGCAATCCATGGAAAATCAATTCCTGTAAAAAGATCCGAGTTTGAGGTTTTGGGGTTGGATTTTTTTGCACTGTGTCATCTGTTGTGAGGCATGTCTGGCATTCTAGCTCTTGCTGTGGCACAGATCTCCCAACTGGGACACTCTGTGCTGGTTCAGGGACACACAGGATGTTTGGAACTGTTCTGGGGGATTGAAATTTTAAAATAATGGTCAGGGGAAAACACTCTTACCTCAGTGAGCCCAATGGAAAAGGGTGTCTAGAAGGGCAGTTGGTCATGGTGTGGGTCAGCCCACGCAGCTCCCCTCTGGCAGGGCAGGCACTGCTATAGAGGTCTTGTTTCTCACTATATCATGTGGAATAGAGGATTTGGTCATGGTCTAGATCCTTGGCTTCAGAACCTCTGGCTTTTATCCTTCCAGTTAAGGAGAGCCCTGTGCATAGCTTTCCTGAAAGCTTTTTAATGGTGCTCCACTGCTGGTCAGGAGAGTAGTTTTGCAAACTGCAGAGCAGGTGAGCAAGGAGCGAGTGCTTCCCCACCTGGAATTACTGCAACCCTGTGCCCTCAGAGTGATGCTCAGTGGGAGAGGTGGTGCCTGAGGGAAGGGCTCACTGTGCTCTGCTTTCCCCTACAGACTTGAAGGCTGATGAGAAGAGCATGTGCACCCTGCCTGAAGCCACAGGCTCTGCCCCTCAGGAAATAGATCCTACTAAAGAGAACCAGTTGCTCTTCACCTACTCTGTGCACTGGGAGGTGAGGCAGTACTGAGGAGCTGGCTGGCAGTGATACTCCAAGTGTCTGTTACTGGAGTTGTGGAAGGCATTGGGAATGTGCTGGTGTGAGAACTCTCCTGTTCTTTCAGGAAAGTGACATTAAGTGGGCTTCCCGCTGGGACACGTACCTGACCATGAGTGACGTGCAGATCCACTGGTTTTCTATCATTAACTCGGTTGTGGTCGTCTTTTTCCTTTCAGGTGAGTGGATGTGTGGGGAGAGGAAGGCTTTGCCATCATCTGCAGGGAATTTTCTTTAAGCCTTAGCTGCAGGTGGCTTGAGGAGGATGTGGGTATCAGAACCTGGTCAGAAGGAGCAGGAAACCAATTTAAAGCCTCCCAGTTCAAATAGTGTCCTGTGGGGTCAGTGAGTTACCAGCATTTCTCATACTGGGGTCATTGAGGGAGTAAAAAAAACCCATAAGAAAGCCACAGTGCCCCATTTCTGCTGGAATACTGCCTTCCCTGCTCCTTGGGGTTTTGTTTCTGTCTCTGCTGATGACTCAAGACCTCCTCTCCCAGCCAGAACATAGTGTTGGTGGGAGCCATGTAGTTGCACAGTATGAGAGGAGCACATCCATGTGGGAGCCTCTGAGCTGAACTCTGTGCTTGTTTTCAGGGATTCTCAGCATGATCATCATCCGGACTCTGCGGAAGGACATTGCCAACTACAACAAAGAAGATGACATTGTATGTGTTTGTTCCTTGGGCTGGGATTAGAGGGAGGGAAGCACAGGCCAGGGGGGATCCAGTGTGCAGACTTGGCTCTATTGTCTCTTCCCTTGCCCCGGTTTTCCTTTGAGCCCTGGCCGTGGGACGGGCAGTTGTGTTGTGCTGTCACACACCTTTTTCTGCCTGAACAGTCACATACCAGTTAGGATGTCTTCAGACCTAAGGAGTGATTGCAGACAGCTCTGTAAATGTGTGCCCTGGCACTGACAATTCAGGTCTCAGCTGTTTTTAGCCCAAGAGGAAAAAAGTTTCTTGGCTAAAGTGGTAAAATTCAGTAGGAAAACTGGATCCAGGAAAGTTAACCTCTTAGGCTGCCTGTGGTAGGACCTTAATTTCCACTAGTATATCACATCTAAATAACCTCCTTTTTCTGTTGTTGCTATAGGAAGATACCATGGAAGAATCTGGTTGGAAACTTGTGCATGGAGATGTCTTCAGGCCTCCACAGTACCCTATGATCCTCAGCTCTCTCCTGGGTTCTGGAATTCAGCTCTTCTGTATGATCCTGATTGTCATCTGTAAGTGGCACATGTTGCATGGGGTGACTGTAACACGAATGATGCTCGAGGATGTTTGACTTCACCCTGTGCTCACCTTAGCTGGAGTGAGGCCCATGAAGCTGCTTCCTGTTGCCATCAGCCTGGGCTCAGCACTGCAGAGCTGCTGGATGACATTGCCCAGCTGAAGGCAGCTTTGTGTGATTTTATTTCCTTTGCCAAGCTGTGAGCCCTGGCTGATAGTGGGCTGGGAGACTTTGGCACAGGTGTGCCTTGCCTGCTGAGCTGCACCTGCTCCCATCCCTGGGGAAGCTGATGCTGAAGCATGGTCTGTAGCTGAGTTCAAAGCTGTGCCTTCCCCTCTGGCTGGAGGCTGTGGATACGTTATGCTGTAGGGAAATCAGGCCTGTGCAGGGATTGCAGGCAGCTGTGGGCTACAGATGGGACAGACCCCTGTCCTCGAGCTGCTGCAGCACTTGTCCCTCAGAGCTGCTGTTCCTTGTCCTGTTTCCCTCTGCAGTTGTTGCTATGCTGGGGATGCTGTCGCCTTCGAGCCGGGGCGCACTGATGACAACTGCCTGCTTCCTCTTCATGTTCATGGGGTAGGTGCCTCCACAGCTTCCCCCTGTGCTGTCCTGCTTCCCCCAGCAACAGCAGCTCATTTTCGTTGACTTGGCTTGTTTCTGTCCAGGGTTTTTGGTGGATTCTTTGCTGGCCGCTTATACCGGACTCTGAAAGGCCATCGATGGAAGAAGGGAGCCTTTTGTGTGAGTCTTGGATGTTCTGGGCTGTTTATCCAGGTTTGCTGATGGCAAAATCTGTGGCTAAGCTCCACACGTTTGTGGTAGCTGGACACAGTCTGGCTGTGCTGCACATCTGCTGTGGGTTGAGTCCTTGTAGCTGTATGGAAAAGGCACCACCAGAGCACGTAGTAGAGCAAAGAGGATTGTCCACGATCCTCCCCACAGCCCAGCTCTGTGTCCTTGTCCTGTAACAAAAGGGACACTTCTCCACATGTGCCTTGTTTCAGGGATGGACTCATTCCATAGGAACATCTGGCTGATGAATCAGGTGCTTTCTCTTATGCTGTGGTTCCTCTTGCAGACAGCAACACTGTACCCGGGCGTTGTCTTTGGCATCTGCTTTGTCCTCAACTGCTTCATCTGGGGGAAACACTCCTCTGGTGCGGTAGGTGCCACCCTCAGCCTGGGGCCTGCTGGGTGGGAGAGGGCCACTGGGCTGATAGGGACCCACTTGGCTTCCCAGACCTTTCCAAGTGGGTGACTGGAGGGTTGGCTTGGCCAATGACATCAGTCCCCAGGGCAGGAGCGCTGTCAGCCTCACTTCTGTGGCTCTTGGTGTGATTCCAGGTGCCTTTCCCTACCATGGTGGCCTTGCTCTGCATGTGGTTTGGGATCTCCTTGCCCTTGGTCTACCTGGGTTACTACTTTGGATTTCGCAAGCAGCCGTATGACAATCCTGTACGGACAAATCAGATTCCCAGGCAGATCCCGGAGCAGAGGTGGTATATGAACAAATTTGTGGGGTGAGTGATGAGTGTCTGGGAAATACGGTGAGTTAAGCCCCCTCTCCTTGGTCCCCTTGGGTTGCTGAGTGTCACCTGCTGCTCCCTGGACATGGAAGGATGGCAGATCGGGTTCCTTGAGACCACAGTGATAATTTGGATGTGGTATGAAGGGTACTTGTACCGTGGTACGTGCTCAACAGTGGGAGCAGCTGTGCCATTGCCTGTGAAATTGAGTAATCTGGAAATGTAGAGCCTTTGCTTGGAGTGTTCTGTGTGGTTACAAGGAATTTTTAATGTCCAGACAGTTATATTGTGCTGCTTATGGTTTTTGTTTCTCCTCTGCAGGATCCTCATGGCTGGTATTCTGCCTTTCGGAGCCATGTTCATTGAACTGTTCTTCATTTTCAGTGTAAGCATTTAACCCACTTTCCTCCTCAGTGGGATTCTTTTCATGCCAAAGCTTCTGAAAGGGAGGATGCTTTCACTGGTGCAGTCTCCTATTCCTGTGTTCTCTGAAGGGGAGCTGGTTTCTTCCAGGCCATTCAGTAGTTTCCAGGGAGAGCTATAGGATTCTCCTGGTGGTTTTGTGGTAAAGACAAAATTTACTGTAACATTACATCAGGGAGGGGTCCTGGTCTTGAGACAGTCACTGTCCTGCTGCTACAGTTTTTCACCTTGTGTGGATGGGGAAGAATTGGCTGTTCCATTGCTTGGGAGATGCAGGGGAATGAACAAGCTATCCAGATGTGTCTTTGTGCACCTTTTTGCAACCTGAATCCTCTGAAGTGACATTGTGAAATGCATTAGATCTGTGGTTCCATCTAGGTGAGGTTGAGGGGCCTCCTCATTTTCCCCTGGCTGGCTGGCAGAAGTTAGTCCATGTTCAGTGACTGATCACAGTAACATGGAAATAAATTCCTGCTGTGTGTTTATTTCAGGCAATCTGGGAGAACCAGTTCTATTACCTTTTTGGCTTCCTCTTCCTGGTATTTATAATTCTGGTGGTATCCTGCTCCCAGATCAGCATTGTCATGGTGTATTTCCAGCTCTGTGCTGAGGTGAGATTTCCATGTTTGTAATTTGGGTAGCAGGGGGTGCTTGCTCCTGGAAAACCACAGATCACATTATTGCTGCTGCTCAGCAAAGATTAGTGTGGCCCAGCTTCACAGATGTGATTGTCCACAATGTCAGGGAATTAAAGCTCCTTGGTTATCTGTTAAGCTGGGAACTGTGGTTTCATACCAGGAATTTTGCTGGGCACAGGGTGTTTTGAGCTGTTCCCAAACTGTTCCATTCCATCCACATACAAAACAAAATGCAGAACCAAAGGTGAGCCGTGTCCTTGGGCAGCAGGTGCTTTGAGCCTGACTGTCAGCATCACATCTCTTGGTTTGAAAACACGTTTGTGACAGAAGTTGTTCCCCAGTCCCAAATTGTGAATTTCCTTTGAAGGAGGATGGGTGGTATTCTCCCTGTCCTGGAATGGTCACAGCTTCCCTGAGGCAGAGCTTGGGGAGAAGAAAGTCAGGGGGATAATGAGGCTCTTTATCCTGTCAGGATTACCGCTGGTGGTGGAGGACCTTCCTGGTGTCTGGAGGATCTGCCTTCTACGTGCTGATCTATGCTGTCTTCTACTTTGTGAACAAGGTATTCCTCCTTGGTGAAAGTGCCGTGTTTTTGGGGGTGACTGTGGGATTTGGGAAGGGAAATTGTGGGCCTGCTAAGTTGCAGTCTGCCCATGCCAGCCCAAGGCAGTGCTCACAGCCCTTCCAGACAAGAGAGGAGGGTGTAGGTGCTCCAGGACTCGCACAGAGCAGCATTCCCAGCATTCCCTGACCCCACCTCAAAGGGGATCTCCCTTCAGCTGGACAAAAACCAAAGTTTTCCTCCCTTTGCCAAAGCTCTCCTTGCAGAGGGCACTAGTTGATTTGTCATCTGTGTGCGTTATTTCACTGACTTTTTTCATCCTCTTCTGTTTCAGCTGGATATTGTTGAGTTCATTCCCTCCTTACTGTACTTTGGCTACACTGCCCTCATGGTCCTGTCCTTCTGGCTCCTGACGGGCACCATTGGCTTCTACGCAGCCTACATGTTCGTGAGGAAGATCTATGCTGCCGTGAAAATCGACTGAAGCTGGAATCCCCCCAGCAGGAATCAGACACCTCTGAACATGTGTCCTCCCGGGAGGGACAGGGACATCTTCTCCCAGCTCTTTTTAAGGAAACAAAAATCCAGTGGGAGAGTCACAAGAGAAATAATTAACTCCTCGATTTGGAATGTAACTTTGGCACATTGTACATGGATTCTGGGCTACTTCTGCGGGGAAAAGGGGTCTGTAGATACCTTACATTTTAACTTTATTATCCTGTTCCATATTTGAGGGAGTTTTTTAGCAGAGAAATATCCCTCTGTATAAGTAAACACCCTTTTTGCTAATCCATCCTTTTTTTTATGTTGATGATGAGCGGATTTGAGACAGCAGTGGAAACACTTGTGAAAACGTTTTCTTCCAGCCCCTGGGGTGCTCTAGGATTCAGGGAGACTCTTCAGACAAATATCAGAATGGGTTTTTCTCCTGCCTTCGTGTCTGCACGGAAGAGGGAGCTTGACTATGGCAGAATACCTGGAGCCCAAAGGCTCACCCAGCGGGAGTCCGGCGCGCTCCGATCACCGAAGTCCCGGCTTCGGCTTGTTTACAATTTGCTGGAGGTGCCATTCGGAGCCTGGGAAGTGCAATTTCACCCTGAGAGAGCTTGAGCAACCTTCAGCATCGCTTCTCCCTCCCTCCAGCCTCGGACAGCACAGGCTGCTGTGGGAGGGTGGGACTGCCTCTCCTGCAGAAGGCAGGACAAAAGGTGCTGGTGGAAGTGACGTGGTTGTGCTGGAATACAGGACTGGAAGGATGCGTGAGGTAACTACCAGAGTTTGTTCTGTCAATAGTTCTGCTCTGGATGAGTGAGGAATCAGGGCAGGCTCCTTCCTGGGAATGCCACTGGGATCCTGAAGAGCCTGCAGGAGGTGGCTGTGGTGCCGTGGTGTTAGTGCCAAGTGATCTGAGGCAGTGTTGGGCCTGAGCTGCCCCAGGGTGGTGCAGGCCATGCTGAAGGGGCTGGCACAGGCAGGTGGCCCCATGAGCTGTCCCATGGCTGGGAGCAGGGCTCTCTCACTGGCCCTATGCTCTGACTGCCCTTACTGCTCTCTGCTCCTCCTCTGAAATTCTCTACCTCCAGGGAACAGGAAAAGTGTACACCCCATAGCTGTATTTTGTTCTTCTCCACAAAAACCAGTCCACGCTCTCCCGGATAGCTGATATGGGCTCTTCTTTTCCCATGGCTTGATGCCTGAATCAGCCAATGGGAAGCTCTTTTTAAAAGAGGTTAAAGTTGGGTTGTGGGTTTTTTTTTTTTTTTGGTCACTTCAGTGATGTTTATCAGTAAAAAGGTTCCACGTTGCAGTGAAGGCTCCCTTCATCCCCAGACTCACTGGATTCAGCCAGGACTACAGGGAAGAGGTTTTTTTAGTGAGATCTATGAAAATTTTTCTTCTTGGAGTAAGATCTTCCAATGACCAGCTGCCACAGGTCACATCATTCCAACCCAAAATTGTCCAAAGCCCTCCTTGATCTCAGGGAGGGTTTTGGGGCCTTTTTAAACCCCAATTGCCATAAGTTTCCACCAGGTCCATGCAAGGGCCTGTGTCCCTTCCCATTGGCCCTGCCTGTCATGCCAAAGTCTAATCAACCAGGAATCATGGATGGAAAAAAGGAGGAGGGGATGTGTGAGCCAGCTGTGCTGTGGAATCCTGTGTCAGTTCTGATTTGAGGTCCCTCTCTGAGATTTTTGTCGATTTTTTTTTTTTTTTTTCTGTTCTGCCCCTGCCGCAGTGGAGAGGCTCAGCCAGCATTGATTTCTCTCCCTTCCCTGAAGTGTTTTCTCTGTATTCTTTGTAATTTTTAATTAATGTATGTATTCTTTGTGTCCTATTGTAAATAAATCTGCCATTGTCCTGTCATCCTGCTCTCTTGGGTTCTCCTAAGCCATTTCTGGAGAATTTCTTTTTGTAACACTTGGCCTGTTGAACACCCATGTGGTCTGTGATGTGTGGCTTCAGCCAGAAGCAGAGCTTGGAATACTCTGGCTTTCTTTGTAATATTTTTCTCCTAGTAAACTAAGTTTCTTCCAGTGTGGCATGCCCTGAATGCTGCCATATATTGTAATTGTGCCACCAGTTGAGGCATTTGGATCTGCTGCTGCTGTGCTGCTGGGTAAGATCACTTGAGCGGCTCATGGCTGGTGTGAGACATGTTTTTTGACATGTGGCACTGATGGGCAGAGCAGCAGAACTGTTGGGTGGCAGTGCTGGGCAGTGCTTTAGAGCAGGACAGGGGAGAGGACAGCTCAGAAGGGAGTTTGAGGAGTGCTGCTGCAGGAGCTGAGCCCTCAGCGTTGGCTTCCAGCTCCATTGGCTTCCCAGAGGTTCTGTGTTTCTGCTGAGGGGTGTGTGATAGGAGATCAGTGAGCCTCTGCTGGAGTGCTGGCTGAGGGAGGCAAAGTGAATTCCCTTTTCCTGAGATGGTTTGCCCAGCAGAGCAATGGGTGTGATTCCCCCAGGTGAGAGTCCAGTGTCGGGGGCTGCTGAGTGCCTGTGGGTGAGACCAGAGCTGGCAAATATGTGAATCAAAACTCAGAAATCATCAGAATAATCCCTTCTCCCTTTAAAAAAGCAAAGGAAGCTTCAGCTCCAGCATCAGAACAATCCATACTGAACTTATTTTTGTCAGATGAGTGTATTCATGTTCTGTCGCAGTCCTCAGCGCCAGGGGAAAGCTGCTGAGGAAAGGGCACGTTTAATGGTGGCTGAATTAGGAATGAAAACTAGAACTGAAAACTAGATCATTCTTAGACAAGCACCTAACACTGATCATGGCTGTCAGCTTTTAATCCATGTTCTGAAGGAGAATCCCAGGAGGGCCCTGTGTGCTTTGCCCTGTTTCATCTTCAAATGCTGTTGGTGCCTGCAGCCAGTTGTAGCTTAAGCTGAGGTTTGGTCCCTGCATGCTGGGGTTAGTGGGAGGGGGAATGGGCTGAACTTGTCTGAAATGCTGCCACATGGGCTGGAAATTTTAGTGAAACCAAGCAACCAGAACTTTCTGTCTAACAAACATGATTCTCCTTGACAGGGGATAATGGTGTCTGCTGTGGCTGCCTCCCCAGTGGGGTGCTGGGTTTTTTTCTTGTGGGTCTAATTCTTTGCTTGGCAGAAATTTAAGAACTTCTGTGGCTTCATGTAGGGAACTGTGTCTTTGACCTGCCTTATGATTTTATCCTGTCTCAATCCAACCAAAACCCAAACTCCCCTCCATGAAGGCACCTGGGGTAGATCCAAGTGCTTTTAATAAACAACTTCATTATAAAAGATGCTTTCAATTTGAACTTCATTTTGCAAGAGCTAATTTTAGTGATGAACCATACATTTCCTAATGGCAATTAATTACAATTTTAAAACCTTGTTTACAGCCCCAAAACACTCCTTTAAAAGAGGTTATTCATTCTGTGTAAAAGTGCTAGAAAGTTTGTTTTTAGAAAACCAGCTGAGCTGTAACAATGGGAAGTTTCTGGCTCTGGCAGCTGTAGCTGCAGGGAGGGAGGTCAGGCACGGGGCCTGTCCAGAACCAGCACAAGAAGGGACAGTGTGAAGGGAGGGACACTGTGGCTTTCCCATCCCCTGCCATGGCTGATCCCAAACCCTTCCCCTTCCAATGAGATGTGTATGGGCTCCTGTGGGAGATGGCAGAGCTTGTGCTGGGAGAGGGTTCTTGGCATCACTTGTGGCTGCAAAGGCCACTTGGTAGCTTTTCTTCCAGCAGCAGTTTTGGAGCTTGGCTGCTCCCAGGGGTTCCACAGGTTATTCTTTGTCCTTCTTGTAGCTACCCCGGGTCTCAAGAGTACATCAGCTGACAGCTCTGTTCTTCAATATCCTCATTCAAGGAAAACTGATTCAAATGTTACAAAACAGTCTTTCTAAAAATTGCTCCTAAATATCAGAACTCACTAAAGTGGGAAAGCTCCACAAGGTATCAAGGCTGAGGCACTCAGTAGGGTGAGGAGATCTGAAACTCCAGAGAGGCTTCTAGCAGTTCTGGGATGTGCTGCAGCATGCAGGCTTCTGCACCCTGCCATGGCACCCTGAAGTGGCTTCTGAGGGCTCTGAGCAAAGCTCATGTGTTACCTTCTTGCAGACACTGACTACAGAAGGGCTGCAGGCAGCTCCATGCCTGTTCACCTGGACACTCAGCCAGCCTGGCCTGTCCTAGGTGTTGGAGGCTGCCCCTGTCCTGCAGCCCTGGAGCTGTCCCCAGTCCACTGCATTCCATGCTAGGGCTGGTTATCCCCTTGCACAGTAGCTCAAAACAAAGACACAAAAGTGAGGGATAGTTGGTTTGTAACAAGACACTTCAATGTCGGGGATTCTTCCCCCAGCTGAAGAGCTGACCTATTTATAGTAATAAAAAAACTAATTCCAAATTCCCTGGTTATCTTTTGCAATGCTTTTAACTTGCCTTGTCAGTGTGATCTGATACAGAGAAGCTCCCTGTGTGTCATGCATGCTCTATTTCCACGCTGGTATTTAGGCACTGGTGGAAAGGACCACACAGACCTGGCTTCAACCACAAGCACAGAGTGAGGAAGCTGCTTCAGCCTCCTCCTGCAGCCCACCTGTGCACATGGCAATAAAATGCACTTTGAACAGGAAAGCCAAGCTCATCTCCTGGTGTGGGTTTGTGGGAAGCAGAATGTGATCTCTTTTCTGGTCTTATTTCTGAGCACCAGTTGTTTTTGCTCAACCTGTTTGCATGCCAGTGTGATTAGTGGTGTGTGGCCTGTGGGAAGAGGTAGAGCTGGCTCCAGGTAGGGATTGCAGAGTGTACCCCAGGAGAAAATCCTTACCTGCAGCCACAGGAATAGCTGAAATGTGTAGGATTCTTAGGGGATCCCAGTTATTCAGTAGAAGGAAGCAAGTCCATCACTGGGAATGGCCAGAGGTGAGCCTAATGTGAGTGTGCATGGATTGTGCAGCAGGGACAACAGAACCTGAGAGGTGGTGGGGCATAGGAATAGTGGTCCTGCAAGGCAGCTGGATCAGTGGTAATGGCATCTCCCTGGCACCTTCCAGCTGCTTTCCAAGACAGGCTCAGTATGGCTGGGCATGTTATGGTAAACAGGCATGGAAAGGGTGAGAGGTGCCAGAGCTGGAGATTGGGGTGAAAAAAATCTGGGTGTCCCAGATCCAGCAGACCAGGCTAAACCAAACCACCTTCTCCTGCTGCACTGGGGTCAGCCAGGATGGGATCCACAGCTTCAGGTGGCAGCTCTCATCTCTAGGAACTGGGAAAAATACAAGAAGTAAGTTATGGGAAAGACACAAATTTTGGATGAGGATGGAAACCTGAAGTGGTTCTGTTTGAGCCCTTCATCCACTTCACTGTTCCGTGGCAGAATAGCTCCAGGGCTTGGGCAGGCAATTAACTCAAAATAGGCACCGGAGGGAGAATTCAGTCAGCCTGACTAACTGGGATTAGAGGATAAGCAAGAAGGTAGGATGATGGGAAGCACATCTTTGAAGATTTATTTGTGGAATTTTAATTGCAGGCAGCAGAAAATGCCTCTGTGGGGTTGTTCTGTCCAGAGAGCAAAGGTGGTGCAATGGTAGAGAAAGGAAAAGGGGATTTTTTTCAGTGAACTGCAGGAAATCTTCCCAGCAGCTGCTGTTCACCTGTCAGCAAGGAAGGAATTAAAGAACAAAGAGCTGAGCTCAACAAAAGTACTGAAATCATCAATCTACCAGAGGTGAAAAAAGGATTCCAGTTGAAGTGACACAATTTTTCAACACTGAGGCTAAAGAGCAGCAATGTTGTGAGACAGAGAAAGGGGTCTGTCACAACATGGTGTGTGGGTATTGTGTCATGTGAAATTCAGTGGAAGCAAATGCAAGATAACACGTTGTTCCTTCCTACAAGTGGATTTTGAGTGAGCTTTAATCCCAAGGGGAAAAAAGATCTTCAGCCTTTCACATGGTTCTGGCAATCTGAGCCTGGAAGGATGGGCAAGAGTTAACCCTCTGCTGCCAGGGAGTGGCTTGGCTATTTGTTAGTTCTTATTTCTAGGGGGCATGAGGTCCTTGGCTTTCTGAGAATCCAGGGTCTCATTTATAAGGGCTGGCAAGTTCATGTCCTGTCCTTTTACTAACTGGAGGTCTCTGGCTTTCTGTCTTAGTTGACTGCACTGTTCCTACTGCTTTGGACCCCCCTCCTCCCCCCCAAGCCAGCCAGTTTAAAACATCCTTTTATTCAATTAAATCCTCCTGAACAATTATGTGCTGTACTTGCTGCCCTTGGGCTCTGGTGCAATCTTTGTGGTACAGGTGTGCCAGGAACAGAGGGATCAGAGAGGAATGGTTTCCTGGGCTCTGCCTGCCTGACTCACAGCTGTGTCCTTGACCTGCAGCCCCCAACTCGTGGTCTAAAACAAAAACCAAACCCAAACTCTTTTTGGGATGATTTTTTATGCCACATAACCAGCACAGTGGCTGCCACAAAGCCCTGCACATATACCACAGAACAGACTGCAGGCTGTGCTGCAGCAATCCCCCTCACAGCATGCCAGTTGCCCTGTCCCTTACCTCCAGCTGCATCAGCAGGAGCTTGGCCAAGCTGACTTCCACTGACTTGCCTAAGAGCTTGGTACCTATCTCCCAGTGAACTGGCATTCCCAAGTGCTGTAAGCTTGGACGTTCAAAGTCTTTTCTTATAAACAGGTAAAAGTTGTTCACTGTAATTTGTTCTGTGAATTGCATATTTGCTATTTCAAATGGAATTACTCTTGTTAGTTTTAGACTGATTGGAAAAATACCTTCAGATTACAAGCTGTTGTGGTAGAGGAACTTTGAATCCATTTTCCTGTGCAAAGACCTGGAATCAGCTCCAATGCTGTCTCTGACCACGTTGCCCTTGCTGGGTTAGATTTTCCTTGCATTGACAAAGGTTACTGCAGTTCTGCTTGTTAAAGTAGCTGTGGAAAGCAAATCACACGTGCAAATCATAGCAAAATGAATTCCATTTATTCTTTGACAGACTACTGGTAGGAAAAAGATGCCTGGCTCTAAGTTTAGCTACCACTGCTAAAGGAATTCCAGTGATGACATCTGTTCAGAGTACAATGCAGGCAGGAAGCAAAAAAGCTGAATGTTCTGCAGTGGGAGAAGGCGTGTGATGGCATTGCATAAATCTGATAATCCTCACTGGCAGTGAGTGATCAGTTCTGACCATTTATTTCTCAAAAAATAATAATCCTCTCAACTGAAGACAGGGATAAGGCTTGCATATAATTGATAACAGTGTGAAACTCTTTAATTTGCAAAGAGCAAAGCAATAGAAGACAGGCCTGAGGTATTCAATGCTGGTAAACAGACTGGCTGCAATGCCCTGTTTACCTTTGCTAGGTTAGAGAACAAGAAGGCACTCGTTGGACTTGGAAAGGCAACATTTTCCAGTGGAGAAAAGGAAAAAGTACTGCATTCAACTCGGGGAGATCATTGCCACAGGATATTGCTGAGGTAAATAAATCTTATATTACATTTTGATACAAAAGTCTTATTTGCAGCATTGCTGGCTAACCTAAAACAACCGATCTATGTTCTGGAGAATCAATGGATTGCTAAAAAGTCATTCTGGGAAGAATTACTAAGCTAAATTAAAAATAAAATTCTGGAGTAAAACGGAAGGGGGACAAGCCTGTGACCAAAAGAGGCACAGCTGATGTCACACAGTGGGATCATGGCTCAGCAGGAAGGAATCTGCATCAACTGAGGTGGATGTGCTCTGGGGAGACAAGGGAGGACAGCATCTGGCTTCACCCAAGGAGCTGAGATAACAGAGTAGAGGTAGATTTTGCATTTCCTAGATTTATGGAGAACAATATTGACAGATTTCCTGGTTTATATTGGCCTACAATGGTTCCTCCATGCTGAGGTATGAAGATCTGCCTGTCCTTAGCCATAAACATGCACCAGTGCAGAGTGACCTCCATATGTCCCCATCTGCAGTCTAAGTGCCCAGGAAAACAAGAGCAGGAGACAATGCAGGTGCTAAATGACACCAGCAGCTGGCTGCCACTTCCCAGTATAACCCTCCTGCCCTGGTAGGTAGACAGCCCAGGGAAGAGTTGAAGAGGTAGGGCAGGGAGCAAGGGAAGCAGGACTTTAATTTCAGGAGGCAAGGCTTGAGCAGGAGAAAACAAAAAAGGCCAGTGGAACCAAATCCAAAGTAAAAAGTTGACTGCAGGCCCCAAACCTCAGCATTTTTTAGAACTACTGGTGTTGGGAGAAATGCTTCAAATACACTGACAGTGTGTACACGAAGCTGGGACCAATTTTTCCTTGATTGTTGGATTTTATCACCATTGAGGTTAAAATACACCTTTGAGACTCCTTCCTGGATAAGCCAAAAAGGGTGCTGACCTCAATGAGTGGTTAAAAAACCCCAAACCCCAGAAACCCATACTCTGTTCCTCATCCCAAGGGAAGCTATGGAGCAGGGCCTGCAGCCTGTTCTCAGCCACGCCTGGTACGCCAGTGCTCGACGTCCCCAGCTCCTCACCCAGCTCTCTCACGTGCTTTGGTTTCCAGATCTGTTTGCCTGGGGGAGATATTTAAAAGGGCTCTGTCCATACACCACACACCAAGCTAAGCTGTGAGAGCTGCTCCATCCCCTTCACTCAGGATAGCCAGCGAGAAAAGGCAGGAAGCTGCTGCCTACAGGGGCAGAGGCTGAAGTGGTCCAAAAGCAGTGTATTTCCCCATGGGGGAAGAACATGATAAGTGAAGAGAAATCAGTGCAACCTGACTTCGTTGTGTAAACAGTGTTCTAGCCACACCAGAGGTGAACCCAGTGTATTCTGGTGTCTCCTATTTTTGCAATGGCAGAAACAGATTTGTGTTGTGTAAACAATGTTCACCATAACGAGTTTATCCTAACAGCTCCAAAGAGGTGACGTTGAATTCATTATGTAAACGGGCTTGTTGCTTAACACTGATGTGGAGTAAGCTGTGTTGGGTGATGGGATGAGAGGTAGCAGGGAAGGACAGCCTCTTCCCCATTGGCTTCATACAGAGCGGTATCTTGACTCCTTCTCCATGTGGAGGTGTTGGCTGGTTTGCCAGAATTGCAGTGTGGTAACATGAAATGGAAGCTGGACTCTTCAAAAGTTTAGCCCAGGATGAAAGAGTCTCAACTCCTTCTGAGGGACAGTCCCTTCCCAGAGAGGAATACAGCTCCAGCATTCTCAGGGAAGGTCAGTGCTAAGCGCGGCTCCTGATTCACAGATTAAAAATTACATAAAATATATCCAGTCTATCAGCTGAAATCTTTCTGCTGTACAGGACTGGGACTTGCACGGGTTCCAGTCTACAAGTGCTCCCTCCGAGATCAGAAACCTCCTGTCTGACCCAGCTCTGCCAGAGCTTTCACACCCCCAAGGAAGGAAGAGTTGTGCGTTTTTAAGGCTCTCCACAAAAGGGTGACTGAAAGATCTGTTCTCCAGTGCTATTTCCAGCTTATTGGAAGGCCTGGTGGAACCGTGGCAGCGTGGTTGTGCTCAAGCTGGAAGTGAAGACGGGGGGCAACGAATGAAGGGGCCCAAAGTTCAGCGAGGCCCCGGCTCCGGGAGACTCTTGAGGTTGATGTTGCAAAGTGGTGAGCAGTGGCTGCGCCTCCCCCTGCGAGTAGCCCATGACCAATCCCCCCGATGAGACAGGTGGATTGCAAGGAGGAAGATTTAGGGGAAGGAAGCCAAGAAGATGAGAGAAGTCCATGTTAGCAGCACAGAGAGCCTCTGAGAGGTTAGCAGGGCTCTTGGAAAGCAAAGCCTCATCCAGGGCGGGTGGCTGAGGCGAAGAGGACTGAGGATCACCAGACGAGAGAGACAGACTGCCAGGGAAGTCTGACAAAAAGCTGTCCACCTCTACTTTGGGTAGTTTCTCAGGCAAATATGAGGTAGATCCAAGCTGATACTTTGGAGGAGGTTGCGGTGGGGAGGAGATGGGAGAAGAAGACTCCAGAGGATAGCTCATTCCCATTGGAAGAGAATTAGGAACCAAAGAATGGGGCATCCCTGAGCTTGGCACGGTTTGGAGATGTGTGCTGTACATGCCCACGGGCAGCATGCCAGGGAAGCTCTTACCACCCATCATGTCTCTGGATGCCATACACAGGACAGGACTCAGCTCTTCCTTCACTGCCACAGAGGAGCTGCAGCTGAGCAGACCCAACATGTCCACTGGCTCCGTCTTAATCTTCAGCAGTTCCTGGGAGTGGCTTTTCTTCATGTGCCTGGTCAGGTGGTCCTTCCTCCCAAACCTCTGAGCGCAGTACTGGCACAGGAAGTCCTTCCGCCCCGTGTGCACTACCAGGTGTCTCCGCACGTCCTTGCGGGTGTAGAAGCGCCGGTCGCAGTGGTCACACGGGTGCTTCTTCTCCTTCGCCCCGCCAGAAGCCCGCCTGGAATGAGCCTTGAGGTGCTCCAGCAGGACCTGGGTGCTCTCAAAGGTCTGGAGGCACACCTTGCAGCTGAGGTCGCCGCTGGCAGCCGCGTGCATGGCCAGGTGTCGCCTGAAGCCCAGCTTGGTGTTGTAGTTCTTGCCGCACTCGGGACAGTGCAGGGCCTCCTTGTTGGGATCGTGGGTCTGCAGGTGGTTCCGAAGGTGATCCTTGCGGTGGAACATCTTCTCGCAGTACATGCACTGGTGGGGCTTCTGAGCAGAGTGTGTGGCCATATGCCTTAGGGAGAAAAGTAGGAAAGGTCAGGCAAACGTCCAGCCTCTGAGGGAACACACGCTAGTTCTCCAAAATTTTCCTTGTGTCCTACACTTTAGGCCACGAAAATCCCAGATGGCATTTTACCTCCATTAAACAAGGAGCACAACGCTTCAGGCAAAACCTACAGTCTGTCCCAGCAGCTGTCTCTCCTCACCTCCTGCTCTCTGCTGAGGCTGCCAAAGAAAACCTCCCTAGTTTGTGACACTAGGTGAGAACACTTCATTGGGAGGGTCAGGCTGTGCCCAAATCTGCTGACAGCTACTGTGGTCTCATTTCACCTTGGTATCTCACACCCTCACCCACTGTGGTTCACTTGGTTTCAAGTTCTCAGCCATCACTGTTTAACTATTTTGTGTTGTACTTCACGACATAAATGGGAACTCTACTTCTCCATATTGGAGCAACAGCTGCCATGGAATTACCCCTGTGGTTAGAAGCAGGACTTATGAATGCAAACGCTATTCTTGCTTTTCATTTTGTTTTTTAATCTGTGAACTTCACTTTCTGTTTCTATTTCCTCCTCAGTGAAACATAAAACAGCTTGAGCTCAGGATAGAGCATTAGCTGAAGCTCTCTGGAAGGCACCTAAAGAGATGCCAAGTATGGTAATATCTGGGACTCAACAGCTTTGCAAGGTAAAAGGGCATTTCCCCTCCTCCAGCTTCTCAGAAATTCAAGCAAAGACACACGAGGGAGGGGGTTTCCCCATTCTCCTGGCAGATACCTACCTATAGAGCTTGTACTTGGAGGCAAAGGCCTTGCCACAGTGCAGCTGGGGGCAGTTGTAGGGCCTCTGCTCCGAATGGGAAAGCGTGTGAGTTCTCAGCTTGTCCACGTGAGGGAAGGAGGGCTCCGATAGTTCACACTGGCATTTTCCCTGACTTTCGGTTTCTTCACCTCTTGGTCTGGGGACTAATTTCCAGCCTGTCTCTTCCTCCTCCTGCTTTGCATCTTGAATCCAGTTGGGAACACTGGGAAAAAATGCCGTCATGGCAGGTCTAGTAGAACATGGCCATGTCAAGCAGAACTCGAGCCTGTGGGCGTCTCGCTGTGATGTTGTCCCGGTGCAGTTTTCTGTTGGAGCCCCCTGTGACCAAACTGCTTCAACAGCAGAACTTCTTCATCTGAAATCACAGGAGGCTGCTGTGAGGATACTGCCACCTCCACCCGTGCACACAGTGAACATGTGAAGATGTCTGTTCCCAGTCATGGGGACCTCCAATCAATAAGATTTTTTTGTCTCTTCCCCCTTAACCTGTTACCCGAATAAAATTATGTTAAACTTTTTCTGAATTGCTTTTTTTGCCACTATTAAGAGCCAGTGTTACGTGTTGGATGTATTTTCTCCTGAAATATCATAAAAGGTGTCTATTTGTAGCTCTGAATACCTTACCCTGTGTGTTTTGCAGACAATTTCTCATCCCATTTTTTTATATTCTCACTTGCTCTTGGTCTCTGCCTACATGGAATTCCCTCTCAGAAATTCTCAGACAAACCAAGGTTCTCTTGTATTTTCTTTTCCCATAATTTCTGCTACCAACCTGGTGCACTGGGCAAAACAATCTCCAGAGCAAATCAATCTGAACCCCCAGATGTGGCTGAACAGGGCTGAGGAAGGAAACTCTCAATTATCATCAACATCACACCTTTTTCTGGAAGGCAACGGATGCTGCTCCTCTTCAGGGTGGGATTACTCATTGTATTTTCACTTTTGATTGTGAGGCAGATTCTGCCTCTCTGGATCAGCAAGTTTTCTACTGTAATGAGCAATTTTTAAGTCTTTTTTTTTTCTTTGACAATCTCATATATTAATAATGGAAGCTCAAACTGTTTCCTGTTCAACCAAATACACCTCCTGTAAGCTCTTTTGGCTTTCATGTTGATGAGGTTCTGCATGAATCTCTCTTAGGCTGCTCTTGAGCTGTGTGTTGGTTCTTACAGGGCTCTACTGCCAGCTCGACTGGTAAACGGTCAGCTGAAATAAAACCAACCTCTTTCACCCGATTTGGCTGCCTGAGAAACTCTACTTAAAATAGCATCAAACCCTCACTCCATGATTGCTTCAGAGGAGGAACTTCCTGCTGCACATCAACATGAGTGCGAGCTGTGGGCAGGATGTGCAACTGCGAGGGAACAAACCAACCCCCAAGAAAGTGCTCAAGGAACGTTATGAAGAGCTGAAATAACAATTACTGTCACTGCACCCTCACCCCAAACACCATGGATGGTTCCCTCAGGGTGGAAAACACTGGCAAACAGGATGACTCCAAGAAAATATATCACTGTGAGCTTTGGGAATGCCTGTTAAGAACAAAACTTGGTTTTGCGCAGGCTAAATCTACGTGGTCAGAGCAGAACAATAAAGGACCAGAACTGCTGAGGTGCCACTTTGGGACAAACCAGCGTGATGTGACAGCTGCTCTGAGCCCTCAGGGTGCAGGAGGCCTGTGGCTCAGAGCAATCCGTCTTCCTGGGTGCTAAAAGCATGACGATTTCACCTCTCTATGAAGTATGTCCCAGAAAAGATGAGTGTTCTCTACCTCTTGCTCCAGAGCTGTGCAGGTGTCCCGAGAGTCTCCACCACTTTCACCAGGGAACTGCTCCTTTCCCTCCGAAAAAGCCTGGCCATCTGGGCCAGTTTCAAAGCTACCTGGAAGAAGATAAGAGGTTGAATGTCGATGTTTTTAACAGTCAGGTGCATAAACGATCCCGCTGGAATTTTAGGGAATTCAGAGGTGCTGCTGCAACCGCCTTGCAAACGGCGGAGGTGCCGGGGGGTGGCCGCGAGGGGCAACTCGCTCCTCCCTCCGGCACCTCCGCCGTTTACCTCGAAAGCCAACCGGGAGACCCCCACCCCCGGGAGCGCTCCGTGGATAATGCAGCCCCGGAGGAGCGGGATCACACATCCCACCCCCGCCCCGCAGCCCTGAGGGGAGGGAGGCGGGCCCGGCCTACGCCCCCCCCTCCGCCCCGCATCCTCCTCCTCCTCCTCACACGCCCCCCTGTCCCCTGAGGGGACCCCGCCACCGAGGGGAGGGTACGGCCGTGCCACCGCCCCTCGCTGCGGTGCCGCCCCCCTCCCTCGCCCCCCCGCGCTCACCCCGTTCCCCCGGGCCCCGCCAAGCGCGGCTCCGCTCCCGGCCCCGGCGGCGCCATTGCGCGGGGCCTTGTGGGAGTGACGTCACGCCTCGGTGGTGGCCGCCAGAGCGGCGCGCCGCGGGGCATGCCGGGATGGCGGCGCCGGGCTCCGCTCGCCGACGAGCCGCCATGGCGGTGCCGCCGGGCCCGGTGCTCCTCGTCCTCCTCCTGCTCCTCCCGGGGACGGCGGCGGGAGGCGGCGCGGCACCCGCCTGGGACGAGGCCGGGTACCTGCTCTACTGTCCCTGCATGGGTGAGGCTTTCGCGGTGCAGGCCCCCTGTACATCTCCCGGTTGCATCCCCCGCTGCAGACCCCGGCGCTGCAGACGCCGGTTCATCCCCCGGCGCGGTCCGCGTTCCCTTCCCCGCTGCATTCCCTGGTCCGTTCCCCACTGTATTCCCCGGTCCGTGCCCCGCTGCATCCCCCGGTCCGTTCCCCGCTCCGTGCCCCGCTGCATGCCCCGCTCCGTTCCCCGCTGTATCCCCCGCTCCGTGCCCCGCCTGACTGAGCCCCGTCTCCCTCAGGCCGCTTCGGTAACCAAGCCGAACACTTCCTGGGCGCCCTGGCCTTCGCCCGCGCCCTCAACCGGACCCTGGCCGTGCCGCCCTGGATCGAGTACCGGCACCACCGCCCGCCCTACACCAACGTGAGCCCCGGGCGGCGGGAGGGAGCGGGGGCGCGGCGGGCCGGGCTGGGAGCTGCCCGGGGACGAGCTGCGGGCCCCGGTAAGGGGAGCCCCGGCTCAGGGCTCTGCTCCCCCGCAGCTGCACGTCCCCTACTCGGAGCACTTCAGGCTGGAGCCGCTGCGGCGCTTCCACCGCGTGATCAGCCTGGAGCGGTTCATGGAGCAGCTGGCGCCCCGGCACTGGCCGCCCGGCAGCAGGGTGGCCTATTGCTTCGAGGCTGCTGCCCAGAGGAGCGCGGACAAAAGCACGTGTCCCATGAAGGTGAGCTCCTCTCAGCCCCGCGGGCTCGGCTTTATTCCAAAGGCTGCCGCGGACTCGTTCAGCTCGCCATTGATTCGCAAATTTGGGAGTTACCCACCGCGAATCGGTCTGTGTGGCATTGCTTTCACCGCTTGTGGAGTGGCTGCTGTGCCATCGTCAGTTTTCTTTGTCTGCAAGTGCTTGGGGATGCGGTCTGTGCAAGTAGTTTTATCAGCTCAGATTTAATTGTGACTGTAGCTTATCTCCTGCTCTCTGTTTTCCACCCGGTGTAAAGCAACTTCTCTTAACTACAAGTTTGAAGGCTGTGGTGTCCTTGTTCTTAAGACAACATTTGCAACACTCTCAGTGAACTTCCCTTAATGTATTCGCTGTCTCCTTCCTGTGGAGCTGGTGTGTCAGATAGGCTGTTGTATTCCAGCTGCTTCCATCCTGGAACAGGCTCCTGCTTTGCACCTCAAGATCTTGCTACATCTATCTTTCAGGCTCTGTCTGCGCACTAAATGAACACTCGTCTTTTCTTTGCAGGATGGAAATCCGTTTGGTCCCTTCTGGGATCAGTTCCAAGTGGATTTTGATAAGTCTGAGCTCTTCAAGGGAATTTCCTTCAGTCCTGCATACAAGGACCATTGGATCCAAAGGTAGCAGTAAGATGCAAGAGTGCTGGCAGGTCACTGTGGGCGTTTAGAGTCACTCATGAGAGCAGCTGTGACTGTGTGTTGTGACTTTACATTTTGGGGGAGATAGTAATTTAGTTAGTAATATAGTTAAAAATATTAATACTTTTTCTATTAAATATTTGCTGAGCACTTTATGTGGGCATCGTTTTAGGTATGAAGTGTTAGGCTGATTGACTTCTGAGCCAGGAATATTTAATTTATCAAGTATTCATTAAATATGTAATTAATCATCAGAAAGAATTTGGTTCTCAGTTTGGGATTATGAACTGTATTTTGCTGCTTACCTTGTGTTTTCAGAGCCATGAGTGACTTTAGTGGTTATCAGTAAGTCTGGGTGACAGAATTGGTCTGGTCTGGGGTGAAAATGTAACATCCTGTTGCTTGGTAGCTCCTCACTGCACATTTGAGGTTCTTCTCTTATTGTCTCTCAGATAAAAGGTCTGAGGTAAAATACAGACCCTGAGATTTCTTCAGTTCAGATGGCAAAACAGCTAAAATTATCTCAATTTGGAGCCATAAAAGCTGCATCTTTTGGGGTGTTCCTGGGTTCTACTCTAACCTTCACAGCAGCCTTCGTGCAGGTTAGGTCACGTTTCAGACTGCTGCGTTTGGTTTTCTGTAGGTTTCCAGCCTCTGAGCACCCTGTTCTCGCCTTACCTGGGGCTCCAGCCCAGTTTCCTGTCCTGGAGGAGCACCGGCCCCTGCAGAAGTACATGGAGTGGTCGGATGCCATGGTGAAGAAGGGAGAAGCCTACATCCAGTCCCTGCTGCTCCGGCCCTACGTGGGAATTCACCTGAGGATCGGCTCTGACTGGGTACGGTGCAGTGGGGTGTGGACAAAGCTGCTCAAAAAGGAGCTGTGCTGGGAGAGCCACCTGATCCCTGCTGGCATCCAGGAGCTCCCTGTGTGTTAGCAGTGGTGCTGGGATTCTTTCAGACAGGCAGAGGTGGGGGATGTGGTGATGTTTTCTCACTTGAACGTGGTGCGAAAAAAACTGAAAAAAGTTTGTGGTGAGGTGGGGTTCAGCCTCTCCTGCCAGTGACAGGATAAAGGGAAATGGCCTCAGGTTGAGACAGGGGCGGTTCAGGTTGAATATTAGAGAAAAATTCTTCACTGAATGAGTGATTGAGCACTGTCCCAGCCTGCCCAGAGCTGTGGTGGAATTGCCATTCCTGGAAGTGTCCAGAACACAAGTACAGGTGGCGTTTTCTAATAAGGTTTAGTGGGCATGGGGTATCTGTTCAGAGTTTGGACGTGATAATCTCAGAGATCTTCAACTTTGATGATTCTGTGATTGTCTTTTCCTCTTCCAACAGAAAAATGCCTGTAACATGTTGAAGGACGGGACGGCCGGGCCGCACTTCATGGCTTCACCGCAGTGCGTGGGCTACGACCGCAGTGCTGCGGTGCCTCTCACCATGGACATGTGCCTGCCAGACCTCCGCGAGATCAAACGGGCTCTCAAGCTCTGGGTGGCAAAGATTGAAGCTAAATCTGTTTATATTGCTACTGATTCCGAGCCCTACACAACGGAAATACAGCAGTTCTTCCAGGAAAAGGTGAGTCTTCCAGAAACCTCTTCTGGCAGGAGTCCTTGGATAAAAACCTTCCTTGGCTTCTGGCCCAAGGCTGTCATGGAGAGCAGACAGGCAGTTGTGGAATAGGTTATTCACAGCCAAATATTGGCATCTCAAAGTGAATTTGGCTCATAGCAATAAAAATTATCCTGTAAAGTTCTTTTTTTTTTTCCTGGAGATTGAAGAGTATTGTCTGGCATGGTAGTAAATATTTCCATGAAAAGGGTTTAAATTAAATAAACCTAAGTGATTTTCAGAAATGCTCTGACATTGATCTAATCATAAATGAGTTATAGGGCAGAGAAAGACAAAACTAACTCTCTTTCTGTTGTGTATTCCATTTCTAATATTATGCCAAGACATTGGATTGTGATAATAGCTGACTGGATTCATCTGCTCTCCTCATTTCTCTGCAGCTCAAGGTTGTCAGCTTGCAGCCAGAAGTGCCTCAGATTGATCTCTACATCCTTGGCCAGTCCGACCACTTCATCGGGAACTGTGTCTCTTCCTTCACTGCCTTTGTGAAAAGAGAACGTGACATCCATGGGAAACCCTCCTCGTTTTTTGGCATGGACCACCCACCGAGGCTGAGGGATGAGTTCTGACCAAAGGAGGAGGAGGAGGAGGCTCTGTGGTTCCAGGGCTCTGAGCTGGGTCCTTGGTGCTGCAGCATTCCCTGTGGGCAGTCATTACTGGGCTGTGGGAGAGCTCCTGCCCTCCAGTGCTCCTCACAGTCCCTTCCAAACTGTTCTGTCTGATCTCTCCTGTGTTTCCAGTGTGAGCTCAGATAGAAATTTAAATCATGTAGTTTATAGGAAACTGTAAACTATATATAGTTTTTTAAGATGTAGCTTTTATAGTTCTCCATTCTCACTACTTGGGATTCACCAGCAATCATGATGAAGCAGCTGCTCAGATTTCCTCCTCTTTTCTTTCCCTGTTAATTCTTAACTGTCACCTGGAGATGTTTTGAAGCTTTGTGTCCAAAACTGACCATAATTGGTTCTCTTTTGACTTCTGTCAGGCATATCAGGTTCCCTGGAAAGGGTGTGCAAGGTGAAGCTCAGGACTGAAAAAGCTCTGGGGTTTATCAAGGACCACGGTTGTCCTACCAGACCTGTGTCACCACAGTGCCTCAGTGTCCCTTCTCCTGTCCAAAGAGATTCCATACCCTGTGCTATGGGGCCCTGGATCTCTTTGGTGGTGCTGGAGGCGTGCAGTGGGACATGGTGTGACATGGCAGCTGCCTGTCCAGCCTCTCTGCATCACCCTGGGGCAAGGTGTGTGCAGGGATGTGGGAGGAGATCTGTCACAGCCAGGCCAGAACTGGAGATTGAGGGATCGTAGCTTTGTAGCTCTTGATGTCAGTGAGGTCTGTGGTAGAAGAGAAACTTTGAGCCAAGGTTATTAAAATAGCTGTAGTGGGGTTAGGTATGTCAGACCCGGGTCTGTGGTATTGTTTTGTTTTTGTACTTTATAAGATAACCCCTCTGAGAGCATTACCCTTGTCTGGGGCACTTCCCAGTGGAGGTAACTGGAAAATTATTCCTTGATGGGGAGGCAACATCCCAAACCCCTCTGTTTGGCCTGGTGTGGTTTGGTGCTGGTAACACTGATAATCCCAACATGGTGAGACTCAACTTGAACAGTGCCTTTTGGTGCTTCTGTGATTTAATTTTCTGGTCCAAAGACTGAGTACAGAACGGTTCATTTTTCAAAAATGCCTCTTGGGTGAGTCTGTGCTACCAGAGCTGCTGCCTCCAGCACACTGCTGCAGTCCAGGCAAGGCTATTATGAGCAGTTAACTCCAAATGTCTTTTTATGGTGGT